GTGGTTTGCTCCTTCTCTCCTGCACCCCACTCCTCCCACCACTGCCTTCCTCCACGAGCTGCATCCCCTCCGCCACAGTGCCTGCATATGGGCTGCTCCCCCACCCTCCCAGAATGCCGCCCTTCCTTCACAGCCCCCACGGTGGCTTTAATTTCACAGTTGTTTGAGCGCCCAGCACAGGGCAGGTGCTTAAAGACAGGTGTGGGGTGGATGAGTGGATAGATGATTAACTGGGTGGGCACGGTGTCTGCCCCCAGGGAGGTCCCAGCGAGCACTGTGATAGCACAGAAAACCCTCTGGAATATCAAACAGGGAAGGGACTGGCCAGCCCAGGCATCTGAGAAGACTTTCTAAAGTAGTGGCGCCTTAGAAGTCCATTAAAGGAGAAACAAGAAGAGTCATGATGTACTCACGTCTTTCCTTCTTGGTGGCAATGTCATTGGATGGTCTGCTGGGATAACAGCTTGAAGTTATTGGCTAGAGTATGTCAGGACCATCCCTGTGGAGGTTGCCGCTGGTCCTGATAAATGTGTTCTTAGGATTTTCGCTAACTCCTGAACTAAACAAAAATGTACTCTGATCCACAGTCCTGTACCCTTTATGTAACTTAAACTTGTTGCTGTCCAGTCGATTCTGACTCATAGCAATCCTCTGGGGCAGAGTAGAACTGCTCCATAGGATTTCCAAAGAGTGGCTGGTGGATTCAAACTGCTGACCTTTTGGTTAGCAGCCAAGCTCTTAACCACTCCACCACCAGGACTCCTTATGTAACTTAGTGGCTAACAACTATTCTCAACATTGAACGTCAGGACTAGAGCAGATGACAAAAGCAACAGGGAGAATCTGATCCTGAGTCCACGGGATGGAGAAGGGCTGGACAGAGGACTAGGAGATGGCACGGCTCCTCCCTGGAGCCGTCCCTCAAGGAGCCACTGAAATTGACCAGGGTGACAGATGGCAGGATTCCTGCGCTCAGAACCCTCCCCCATTCAACAGGCGGCCTTTTCTGCACTGAAGCTCGGTTTCTTGGTCAATCAGGGAAGAAGTCATAGGAAAGGGAGACAACCCTTCCACGGTGACCGGTGACCGTGAGCTATCGCCCGCCTTACCGGAAGGCTTCTTCGCCCCCAGGCCAAGGACGCCAAAGTATACGCGTGCTGCGCGCTGTGGGGGAGGGGGCCGCGCTCCTGGAGTGAGGGCACGCGCCCGGGGAGCGGGTCTGGGGGTACGCTCTCGGGGAGAAGCGGCGGGGGCATGCGCTCTTGGGGTTTGGGTCGCGCTGCGGGGAGGGGCCGCGCTCCGGGGGTGGGGACACGCGCTCTGGGGGTTGGGCCGCGCTCCGGGGGTTGGGCATGCGCTCGGGGCGGGGATTTGGGTCGCGCTGACGGGTGGGGTCGCGCACTCATTCGCAGTCGCAGTGGGCAGACGGCGCCCAGGGTAAAGTTTCGATTATCTGTTGATCTAATGGCCGCGTCCAGCCGTGGCGCGACCGGCAGCGAGAGCGGAAGTGAAGGGTGATTTCGGAGAAAGACCGGTAAAGTAAACAAACTACCCGCCCACGGCCTCAGCCTCCTGATTTTGGACTTCGGCTTAGGAATCGGTCCTGGCCCTAGAGCCCCTGGCGGGAAGCGGTGCGGGGCTGGCCCTGCCAAAGGCGGCCAGCGGGGCGTGGACGGGGTTTCCTGGCACCCGGCCTCCGTCGCCCTAACCCTCCCCGGGTTGGGGCCCAGTTGTGTCCCTCACTACTGGAGCAGTCTTCGGTTGTTTCGAGGATCAGATGAGATACTGAGTGTGAAAGCGCGGACACTCGAAAACCAAGCAAAGACAAGGTACTGCTGAGTTCCCAAGCGCGCGCAGTTCTCGGTGGCAGCGCTGCCGACTGACCCCGTTCTCGAAGGGCCCTGGCTCGTCTGTGGGATGTCTGCGCTGCCTGAATCCGCAGTCCCTTTTGTTCCACACACAACCACCCGCTGGCAGAATCACGGAATTGGAAAGCAAAGGAAGCTGGATTTTATGCACCATCCCTGCTCGGTCCAATCCCCAGTTGAAAACTACCACTGTCAGGGAGCTCACTACCCCACATAAACTTAGAACCGTTGTTAGGCATTTATTCCAACTCTCATATTTGCACAAGAGAAAATTGAAACCTGGATATAGCGACTTAAAGTCACATCAGCAGAGCCAGGACTACGGCCATGGGCAACCGCAGCTTATCTTCCTCTTTCTAGAATGCTGGCATTCTTAAACACAAAACAACACTATAGTAAAACCTCCAGCTCAGTAAACACCGCCGGGCCGGTTTACTGTATTCCATCCATGTCCGCTAGCGTGGACTTCTTCCCAGGCCTTCGGGGTAACTTTGGCTCCTGATACAGAAGCTACCACCCAACTGCCGTCCTGCGGCTGTCCGGAAGAGAGGAGCCTGGCGTCTTCATCTGCCACTGAGTGAAGGTCGAGGTCACAACCCTTACCAGCAAACTCTCTTGGGGTGACTTGGGCCCAGCCTTTCACACGGCCCCGCCCATCCCATCTCTTGTTGGGGGAGGAGGGCATGGGCATCACTGTCAGCGGGGCCACTATAGTGCTCTGTGGTTTGGCTCTGGGCCCCTTCCCCATGAGAGCTGGCGGACAATCTCACCAACCCATTTTCCTGTCCAGATGTTAGAAAGCAGAACAAAACCTCTAACCAAGTAGATGAGTTGTAGAGGCATGGCGGCCTAGATTCTAGTTCCTCAAAGCTTTACAGTAGCTGTGGCCTTGGGCACACTTCTTGGCCTGCCTGGAAGTCCTCCCACTGGTCGCCCCTTGCCCAGTATAGCCTAATCTATTTGGGAATTTTGGGTTGACCAGTATTTCAAAGGGTGATGCAGAATTGGTAACTGCTCTGCTCTTAACTCATTCAGTGACTTGGTAAGCCCCTTCCCTCCACTGATAAAACGTGTTTCACTTGAGCTCATAAAAAGAAAATAGATGAGGTGCTTCCACTAGCACAAGGCTGCTGAGTTCAGAGACAAATGCTGGAGTTATTTCAACCCATGTCATCGCAGAACTCAAGTTTCTCGCCACATTTCTACTAAACAGGTGCTGCCCCCACTGTCCTTCTTGCCCCCTCCCAGAGGTTCACTACACTTTAAGTCTTGTCTAAAGAGGCAGTCACCCTCCTGGACCACACAGGAAGCCCTAGGTGGCACAAATAGCTAAATGCTTGACTACTAGCCAAACGGTTGGCAGTTCAAACCCACCCAGAGGCACCTCAGAAGAAAGCCCTGGCAATCTGCTTCTGAAAGGTCACAGCCTTGAAGACCCTGTGGAGCAGTTCTACTCTGCACATATGGGGTTGCGATGAGTAGGCGCTGACTCCATGGCAACTAAAAACTCCTGGACCACGTGAAGCTTCTTTTTCTTCTAACAATTGTTTTCTTCCAATGTTAGAAAGGGGGTCAGCCAGAAAGGGCCACATAAACCAGAGACTTCATCAGCCTGAGACCAGAAGAACTAGATGGTGCCCAGCTACCACCAATGACTGCCCTGACAGGGAACACAACAGAGTGTCCCGGATGGAGCAGGAGAAAGGTGGGGTGCAGAACTCCAATTCTAGTAAGAAGACCAGACTTAATTGTCTGGGACTGGAGGACCCCCGGAAAGCATGGCACCCAGATTCCCTATGAGCCCAGAACTAAAACAATTTCTGAGGCCAACTTTTCAGACAGGGATTGGACTGGACTGGGGGACATGAAGTGATACTCGTGAGTAGTGTGCCTCTTAGCTCAAGTAGATACAAGAGACTAAACGGGCAGCTTCTGTCTGGAGGTGAGATGGGAAGGCAGAGAGGGTTAGGAGCTGGTTGAATGGACATGGGGAATCAGGAGCGGAAAGGAGGAGTGTGCTGTCACAGTATGGGGAGAGCAATTAGAGTCATATAACAATATATGTATAAATTTTTGTATGGGAAAAAATTTTCTAAAAAGGGGGGTCAGCAAAAACCAAAAATAAAACCAAACCCTTTGCCGTCAAGTCGATTCCAACTCATAGTGAACCTACAGGACAGAGTAGAACTGCCCCATAGGAGCGCCAGGTGGATTCCAACTGCCAACCTTTTGGTTAGCAGCCATAGCTCTTAACCACGATGCCGTGAGGGTTTCCAAAAAAAAAAACCGAGGCAGCACAAAAATAGCCAGAGGAACCGTGACAACAGTATAATTGCCATGCCACTTGAGCACCTAGAACCCCTAGCAGGGTCTGGTCCTGTATGTTCTGATTGTCTTCCAGAACCGTCAAATCTGTGGGCTCCTGGATGAAAGCAGGGCAAGAGGACTATGGAAACCTCCCATCCATCCACTGAACCCAAATGGCAGAGCCACCTCCACATCCCCTGCAATCAGAGACCCCTTTAAGGGCTGGGAGGAGGCCAGCATAGGGTCCCTTTCTCAGGTCACTGCACTGAGCCTCCTCTCTCCAGAAAGCCCTCCCAGTTTCCCTCATGTCCACATTTCCCATCTACCCAGAGCATGCATGCTATTCACAGCTGAACTGCAGCTCAGTCATTGGCCTTCCAACTACAGGTCCTGTCTGCCACCTTTGAATCTCACTTGAGACCATCTTTCCATGGTTCTTGGACTGTAGACCAGTCAACATCTAGCTCACCAGCACAGCACAGGGTGGTGCTGTTGCAGCATGTTCTAAATGTGCCTCCTGTGTGCAGAACGCTTTGACAACAACCAAGTTACAGAGCATCAGGGGCACCTTTCCAGGGTGCAGGGAACTGAGCACAGAGCACACATAATTCAGGAATGTCTGGCCCTCTACAGCTCTTGGGGCAGGTGACAACTGTTCTTCCGAGACTCAGGGATCTGGCTCCACCATGATTAGAGGACACCTCAGACTACAGCAAAGGTGCACTTGAGACAAATCAGACGACATGCTGAAGAGACTTCAGGGAAAAAGGGGACCCAGGTGCTGACTACAAGGACAGGAGTACAGTGTTGGGGCCGGAGACACTATGCAGGTGGGTGGGCTCTATCAGCACACCAGGCCTTTTCCTTGGCTTTTCAGGGGGTGGGCACAGTCGACCTTCCACCGAGGCCAAGGCTTGGGTTGTGGCTAAAGACTATGGGGTTCGTGGGCCAGAGGTGACAACTGGGCTTGAGGGCTGGGCCTGGCGTGCAGGCCACTGACAGAGGTTGCTGAGCTGCTTGGATGTTAGGTTCACTGATTAGTAAGTGGTGTTCATGTGGGCTTGCTGGCTCTAAAGCAGAAGTACAGATTGCAGGCTGTTAGGGCAGATGGATGGATTCAGGTGTGAGCAGTCATAGGTACCTAAAAATGTTCTGCATGTTTCATTTTGATTTTTCCCCAGAAGCAGGTAATCTTCTGCTACTGACATTAAAAACAGTAACTAAATGGAGAAGTGGGATTCTGGCCTGACGGCAGAGAAGGCTCAGAAAAAAGGCTACACCTAAATGTCATCGCGTTGCCCGGGCCTCCTGTCATCTTTACAGTGACTGCACTGAGGCCCTCTTGAACCAAGGCAGGGTGAGAAGAGGACTATTCAGTTCACTGTTGCTCGTGCGGGAGAGTATGCAGAAGGGGCCCTGAGGGGCTAAAGAAACACTGGCGCAGGTGACGAGTCCTCACTCTGCCTGGGGTCCCGGGCCAGGCTGAGATGCCAGCCCACGGGAGAGGAGGTGGCTGCCGTGCCTCCACCTGTCCAAAGAGAATACGCAGTCCTCCCCTTCTTGACATGCCCAGAGACCCAGGCCACATCCCTCAGGTGCCCCCCAACTCTCTCCCTCGGGGCAGAGAAGGCAGAGCAGGCTGAATGATATTGCACACAGGCCCAAGGATAACTTATTTTATGGGTCAAGCCAAATACAATGAAAGTTATTATTTTTTTTAACCAAAATAAATAAATCAGATCTGTCCCTATGAAGAGTCAAAGTGACAGTGATGAAGGGCAGCTGGCACTCGACCACGACCTGTCCCCTCACCTCCCCCCCTTCTCTGGCCCCTTGGACTTGCTTTGGCACAGCAAAGAAAATAATGCATCAGAAAGTCTCCATTTTGTTAAAGGGAAATGAAGGAAAGAAAGAAGAGTTGGGGGTGGGGCCAGGAGGAAGAGGAAAGAGGTGGAGGAGTAAGCAGGACACAGGGTCCCGAGTGCTGGCACCCTGGGGGCTTCGGGGCACCTCGTGGTACACATTCTGGGCTCCAGGCCCCCAGCCCCACGCAAGGGGCACCAGAGGACCCTGGAGAGGCAGACCCTTCCTGACTCTGGTGTGTCTTCTGAGCTGAGATCAGGTAGAGCTGCCCCCTCTGCCTCCATCCTCAGTCCACCCAGAAGCTGAGAGCCTGGCCAGTGCCTAGCCCCCCCCACGGGATCCCTTTCATGGAAGACCCGACTCCAGGCTGTGGGTACTTTCCTCCTTGCTGGTGCTAAGGATCGGCTGGGGAAGACAAAGCTCCCTAGTCCCCAGATACAGAAGCTCTTCCCTTGCTGGGTGATGAGGACCGCCAGCACATCATGCGGCCCCCAACTTTCCCTGCTATGGGAACCAACCTGGCCCGCAGCCCACACTCCCTTCCCTTCTCCTGTCCCCGAGGCCTTCAGAGAGGTGGGGGCTCCACACTGCTGGGGGAGGCCAGTGGGGAGGCACCTGGCGAGGGAGAGGGTCAGCCAAGCACTTGAGGGAACAAGAGATCCCGTGTCTCAGAGCGGGGAGTGTCGGTTGCAGTGGGAGGGAGCCTGGGCAGCGCTGAGGCACTATTCTTTAGTGGAGAAGCATGGTGGTCGTGGGTGTGGGGGGCCGGCAGCTCAGGCCAGCTCTATGCCAGGTTCTTGAAGGCATCCAGGTTGAAGGCTGTGTCCAGGAGGCGCTGCAGCTCTGTCAGGTGGGTCTTCTTGTTGCCGGTGGCTGGAGCAGCCGCCGGGTCCCGGCCAGCATACCTGCAATGGACAGCAAAAGCGGCCATAAGTGGGGCCACCAGGGCTTGCTTCGTGCAGCAGGTGCCCGGCTCCCCGCCGTGGGTGGGCCCCCCTGGGTGACAGGCGCTCACCAGACAGGCCGGGAGCGGTTGATGGTTGTCCGGAGCCGGGGTTTCACGTAGTCGTAGTAGCCCTGGTTCTTGTGCTCCTCCTGGCACCAGGCCAGCTCAGCATTGGGGTACTTCTGCACCTCCTTCAGCAGGAGGTCAAAGGGGAACGGGGAGAGCTGGGAGGAAAGCAAGACGGCAATGTCAGGCAGAGGACAGTGAGAGGGCTGGCGCTTGTGCTCAGAAGGGGACATCTCCCACGATGGCTGTCCCAAGCTGGGAGCCTTTCCCCAAGGACAGAGGCGTGGTGGCCTGGCGTGCTAGACCTCGCAGGCCACGCTGAGGGCGGCGCCCAGCAGAGGGGTGGTCTGTGCTACCGCCCCCACCTTACCTGCTCGATTCTTGTAATGGCCACCTCTTCCACCATGTTGCGAGCTGCGCGCTCTCGGGTGAGGTCATAGTACACCTTGCCAGTACAGAGGAGAAGTCTCTTGACTTTTTCTGGGTTCTGAGAGGCAGGGCCGTTTTCTGGGATCACCCGCTGGAAGTGGGTTCCTACGAGAGAGTCCACACAGCCAACTGGCTCTGTCCAGGGTCTTGGCCTGAGGGGCTCTCATCACAGGGCCCCACGATGCCCAGGGGCCTTTCACTGCTGCTGTGGTGCCTCGGAGTCTCTCAGGACCGCCGCACAGCGCAGCAGCCGCCACAACACGCTGCTTCCAAGACTCAGAGGCACCCTCTCCAAGCTCCAACGCCGGAGCTCCTGGATTATGAACCTAGCATCCAGAATTTACTCAGACTGGAGAGCTTTTAAAAGCACTCCATAAATAACATATACAGAGGGAATAAATTCTACGTCTGATATCAAGTGTCATGGTTTGAATTATGTCCCCCAAAAATGTGTGTATCAATTTGGCTAGGCCATGATTCCTGGTACTGTGTGATTTTCCTGTATGTTGTAAACCTGCCTCTATGATGTTAATGAGGGAGGATGGGTGGCAGTTGTATTAGTAAGGCAAGACCTGATCTACAAGACTGGATTGTGTCCTGAGGCAATCTCTTGAGATACAAAAGACAGAAGTGAGCAGACAGACAGGGGGACCTCATACCATCTAGAAAGCAGTGCTGGGAGCAGAGCATGTCCTTTGGACCAGGGTCCCTGCGCAGAGAAGCTCCTAGTCTGGGGAAAACCGAAGAGAAGAAGGCCGACAGAGAGGAAAAAGCCTTCCCCTGGAGCTGATGCCCTGAATTTGGACTTCTAGCCTACTTTGACTGCGAAGAAATAAACTTCTCTTCGTTAAAACCATTCACTTGTGGTATTTGTGTTATGGCAGCACTAGATGACTAAGACATCAAGTAAAACTAATTTACTGTTTTAAAACAATCTGTCTCAGACTTCAGGGGCAACTAAGTACATGAAACAATACCATGCTCACTCTGCTCATACACTTCATGATTTTACTAATATCAAAACATTCGATACAACCAGATCCTCGGGGCTGGGATCGGTGTCCATTAGAACAACACTGACTTAGGAAAACTTAGAAAAACCTGGTTCAAAACAATGGGGTTCATCAGGATGCAAAAGAGAATGGAAGCAGGCGATGCCTCCTTTGCCCGTACTGGGCCCTGTGCTTTTCTGTCCCCAAGTGTTGGGCGCTGTGTGGGTGAGAACACCTTGCTTTACACCTGTACCGCAGGGATGTGACTTGGCAGGTCCCACCGGCCCAGTGTGTTCCCGCATCATTCCAAAGGACTCTGAGCCAGCATGGAGCTGCTGTGAATCACCAGGGAGGGGGCAGGCAGTGGCTGTGACTCTCAGATTCTTTTACCTGCCTCAAAAAGAATCCTGCAGAATACACACAGGTAAGCGCCACCAGTCCCTGGGGCTGGCGGGCAAACCTTGCCAGGGGACCAAACTCTCAGGCACGGTCAGAGTCCTCCCACCCCTGCTGACCCTCTAACCCACTGCCGAAACACATGGCGAGAAGCACATAAATCAAAAACAAGCAGAATCTCCACAGCGGCAGCCGAGAACCCCAGCCCAGACGTTGTCATGCCCTCATGGAAACATGTCTTACCCCTGCCTTCCATTCATACCTGGAAGCATTTCATCGAAGTTGGTTCTGGCTTCAGGGTGACGCAGCAGGGACTTTGGAGTGAAGATGATTAACTGAAATGCAGAACAGATGGGCAGGGTCCTGAAGACTCCAAAAGAGAGGTTAAACACAAGAGGCTTCCCAAGCCTCAACCTCTCGGGACACCACCCCCCACCTTCCCCCTGCTCAGTATTTCAGTAGGATCTGCAGGTGGGGAGAGGCAAAAAGAGGAGAAAAAGAGAAAGAACAATAACAAACTCCCTGCTTCGGCCCCTCTTCTGCACTCACTGAGTAACGGCCGGCTAGGCACCCACCCTCCTGACCTGCTCTTGCCTGCACAGGCATGGCTGCCCCAAGGCCCTAGTGCCCTGCAACTACACGTGGCTTCCCACTGACACCACCTGCACTCAGGGAAGAGCTCAGAGCCTCTCCTGGGCACTCCAGAGCAATGTCATTACCCCAATGCCTCTAAGCCGTGTGGGTTGCCAGCTGCCGGCAGCCCTGTGACCACTCTCCTCCCCTGGACTCCCACCGGCCGTGGGGAACCTGGAGAACACAGAGCTGCAGGCCCACTGTGTGCAGTCCCAGCCCAGCAACATCACAAGGCAACAGAGCCATGCTCCCTCCTTCTGTACCACCCTCTCACTCGCCCTCCACCCTCCCCATCAGACTCCAACTTCAGGACCAGCTGGGGCCCGCGTCTTAGGGAGGGGAAGACTTTCTTCATGCTCAGGTGAGCACAGGCGGCATGCTCCCTCCTTCCCTCCCTCAGCCCCTGTTGGGTTCACCCCTTTTCCAGAGCCTGCCCCACCACCTAGGGCCACCTCGAGGGCTGGGGCCTGTCTGACCCTCTCTGCACACCCAGCTTGGGTCCCGGTGCAGAGTGGAGCTCAAAACATGCGAGGACTACATGAACAAGGACAAGGGTCAGCTAGTCTGGGGAAGAGAATGTGAAAGAACAATCCTTGAAGACTGTTCGTAAGGACCTGCTTGGCTCAATCTGCAGCAGCGACAGAAGGAACGGGGCTGTATCACTTGCTGCCACGCCCCGGTCCATCCTCCTGGCATGCCACCCCGACTGGCCCCAAAGCAGGACTGGCCCTGAGGAGCCCCTCCCTGCTCCAACACAGGCGTTCCGCTCGTCCCTCAGGTCAGGCCCTTCCTGGCAGACTTCCAACTGACCGGCTTCCGGAAGGGCAAGAGGATCTGGCGTCGCAGCACGTGGAAGAAGTTGCCAGGGGTGGAGCAGTTGACAACCACCCAGTTGCAGTCATACAGCTGATTTATGTCGAAGTTGGCTTCCTCCAGGTTCTGCAGCAAGAATAGGAAGGCCAGAGGCCAGACAAGTCCTGAGCATGTTCCTTGTGGGAGGTGTCTGGGGCTGCAGGGGGTCACAGGGGCAGCAGCAGAGAAAAACCACACAGCTCCACCTCAAGGGAGTCACACTTCCCTGAGACGTGCAAACACAGGAGGACAAAACCAGAGCAAATCCAGTAGCTGGAGCCAGGTGGTCCTCACATGCTTTGGAATGAGATTCTCCATCCACTGAATCCACTGATTTCTCTGAAAACTACCGCCTGGCATGACACTGATGCTATTTTAAGACATAGAGTCTACCTAAAACCAATTCTAGTGTTACACAGAAATCGACTTCCCAGTAATTTTCCTTCAGCTCCTCAAGTTTCACTGAAATCACCCCAAAGTCCTCTTCTCTAAAATAACACTGACTCAAAGTACACGCAGTGTCACCCCTAAAGCTTAGGTCACAGCTGTTACACTTGAGTCTCTCTGCAACAGCGGGACGCTCCAGGAAGCAGGCCTGCACATTTCTTCCTTCTGCGCTCTGTGGGGTTTCTCAGTCAGTGCCCCCAACTACACACCCACCCTGGGGCGCACCCGCCTGGCTGGCTTCCTGGAGTCCTAGCTACAGAGCAGGGCACAGCACTGACTCCTTCGGCAGCTCCGGGAGCTGTGTCCAGGTAGGGCCCGGGGGGACAGGGACAGTGTCCTCAGGGACTGCTCTACTCACTGGCAGGACATCTGGGTCATCGTTGCACATCTGCAGGAACCTTTCTGGTCTGGCCGAGGAATGTTCTGGACCCTGGAACCAGACACACAGTTACATTTGGGAACTTATCTCATGCCAACAGCAGCATTCGCTGTTTCTCTTCAGTAACAACTTGTTGACTTTTGGTCTGAAAAATTTCTCTTTTTGGTGACGGCAGAGTTCATGTCTTTCCTCTCCTTCCCAGCCACTAAGCGTAAGGAGACATTTCTCCTTGCAGGACTGGAACCAGGACTCTGCTCTATCAGGTCCAAACCCGAGTCTTAGGACAGGAGAATCTTGCAGAATGACCAAAAATCACATGGGGCACCTTCTGCAGCAGGGACAGCCCCAAACAAGGGTGGGTAGGTGGGGAGAGGGGCTGAGTAGGGGCTCCTGCCTGTCAGGGCAGGCAGATGCATTGGTACCACTGCTTGTGCTCAGGGGCTGGGTAGAGAGATGGAGGAAGGACGGGCATGCCAGCGGCACCCAGATGACTCAGCTCTTGCCTTCCAAAGTAGCACCCCAATCTAAGGCCCCAGGAATAGATGGAAGGGCAGTGCCCACAGGAGCTGGCTCGGTGCCTGCCTCTGGAGTGAGGTCCAGGGCAGGGCTTGGTGGCGAGGCTGAGTACTCACCATGCCCTCCATGCCATGGGGCAGCAGCAGCACAATGCCGTTCTGCCGCACCCACTTGGCTTGTCCTGGGCAGATGAACTGGTCGATGATGCACTGGGCTGTGTTGTGGAAGTCACCAAACTGGGCCTCCCAGAGGACCAGGGCGTTGGGGCTGGCCATGGCAAAGCCCAGCTCAAAGCCTGCAAACAACGAGAGGTGAAAACCCCACCCCAAGAGTCAGCCTGCAGGCGTCGGGGGCCAGGAAGTCTCTGCAGTGCAGTGTGCAGCCACTCACCCAGGACTCCGTACTCAGACAGGGAGCTGTTGCAGACAGTGTAGGGGGCCTGACTGGGCCAGAGGTGGTTCATGGGGATGCAGGTCCTCTTGTCCACGTTCTGGTCGTGCAGCACATGGTGTCGGTGGCTGGAGCAGAAGAGCAGTGTTACTAGCCAGGAAACCAAGCCTACTCTCTGTGTGCCAGGCTAGTGTGCTGAGGACCTGGATGGACACAGCAGATGGCACGTGCACACAACCAAACCAGCCAGGGAAATGGCTCTTTGAAGCCTAAGACAAAGGGAAGTTAATAATCGTTTTTTGAAAATGATTCTGAAAGAAAAACTCCACAGCCCCTTTCCACCTCTATCCTTTGAAGGACAAATAAAAGCCCCCAGTGTCTCACCTGAAAGTGCCTCGTTCAACATCTTGGCCGCTCAGCCGGATGTGGATCCCCTCTTTCAGGAGGGAGCCGAAGGCCATGTACTCTGCCAGGGCCCAGTCCACGGTCCTGTTCTTCACCAGCTCACCGCGGGTTTTCAGGATCCGGCTTAGCCCTGCAGAGACACTGCACTTACCTGCCGGCTGAGGCCCCAGGACCAGTCAGCCGCTGCCCTCACTTCCCAGGACCCCCGTGACAAGAGCGGAGATGTCCCTCACTCTGTCTCGGGACTCCTGACTCCTGGCTGGAAAAGTGGTGAAAAGGAATTTAATTACAGACCATGGGTCAAATCAAATAGCTGCCAGCTTGGGTAGCGGGTGAGCGAGCTCACGGGGCTCCCTCCCTCAGCTCTCCAGTGGCCTTGCATGAGGCAGGGCTGGAGTCCGTGGCACGCATGATGGGACTGAGGTCCTGGGCGCCGAGGTGCAGCACAGCCCCGGACAGAAGCCTCCGTGCCAGGTGCCCTCAGCGCTTCTGCGACAGCAGGTATTACCTCCGTGAATGGTGAAGTTCTCCACGGGCACAGAGCTGGCCACACTCCCAATGTGCGTCAGAATATCTTCCGTTAAACCTGTGGAGGGACAAGACATGCTCCTCGGCTGCCCATCCAGGGTGAAGAAACCTGGGAGAGAAAAGGTGAGCTGAGGCACCATGACCACTGGGATAATGAGAAGTGCTGCTGAGTAGGCGAAGGACTTAGTGCAGCCCGGGGTGTATCACACAGGGCGAGGGGACGCCTTCTGCACTCCCCAGTGGAAGCACTGGCCCAGGGTCTGGACTTGAATGCAGAACCGTGATGGGTGGGGAGGGAGTGGGAGCTCTCTTCTGGGAAGAGGGTTCAAGGTTCTGTCAGATTCACAAAGGAGTCTGTGCCCCATGAGCCGTCAGGAACTTCACCAGTTTCCTTTTCCTGACTCACCAGGCCAGGGAGAGTCGAGCCAGTGCTTGATGTGCAAGATTTTCTCGTCTTTGGACCTGGCAAATGCCTCCTCGCAGATCTTGTCATACTTGGAGATTTCCTCCTGGAAAGCCATGATACAACGCAGCAGTTACAGGACTGTCTGACTACAGCCAGCAGACCCCAGAGCCACAGGCCACCAGCACCTCACTTCTTCTGGCACAGAGCACGTGGACTCTGCTAGCTTCCACTCACTCTTCCCCAGCAGCGCAGCCTTCAGATGCTAAGATGTGCAAGAGCCCAGACACTTTATTCTTTTCATTCCCACTAGTTTCTTCTCCACATTTACTGGCCAGAACTCCTCCTCCAAGTTCAGCCCCCTGTTCTCCTCACCCCAACATTCTTTCTTAAAAATGGGTCTAGTTCCCAATTCCTAGCACAGCCCCCAGGACTGGCCCCCACAGTGCCGCCTTCCCACTGCGCTGACCTCTGCTGCCTGATTCCCACACCCCTGACCTGGCGGCCTCCAAATGCCACCCGCGCCCGCAGCCTGCTCTACTCCCGAGAACAGCATCACTGCAGGTCCTTCCAACCCAACTCACTGCACTGAAAGTTCATCACCTCAGGCCCTTCACCAAGCACGACTTTTCTCTTACTGGAGGACACTGTCCTACCTCATCTCCACCCCGCTCCACCTTCATAGCCCCGCTGAGTCCCACTTCCTTGTCAAACTTCCCAGAGCCTAGGCACCCCGAAAGCTATGCACTGAAATGCTGTAGCTGTAAACATGTTTCCATGTTTCTGATACCTCTGTAAAGCAAGAACTGCCCTGTGGCCTCCCAGCTCTAACCCCCTGCCAGCTCTGGAGCAGTCTGAGGAGTAAGAGCTGGGGGACCACACCTCATACTCTGGCTGGTTGACCACTCCCTGCGACACGAGCAGCTCGGCGTACTTCTGCAGCACAGGCTTCTGCTTGCGGATCTGCTTGTACATGAGCGGCTGTGTGAACATGGGCTCATCCATCTCGTTGTGGCCGTTGCGCCGGTAGCACACCTGGTCATCCAGTGAAAGCCAGCGTTAAAGAACCACGGCCACAGTCCCCTGGGAAGCAGCGGCCTGCCAGGCTAGGGCTCAGGAGCATGAGGAATCTGTTCCATCTCTTCCAGTGTGACAGTCAGCAGGTCTCTTGCCTGTTCTGCCTCAGTTTACTGTCTCTAGAATTAGGATGCTGTCTCTCTCCCCTTCACATACTAGAGTTGTTCTGACTATCAAACGAGGTGCAGTGAGAGAGTGATTTGGTAATACAAGTTCTTTATTCACGAAGTAGCCCCATGATAGGACCAGACTAGCTCACTAATTACCTTCTCCACCATCACAGCTCTGTTCATAGCTGCTGCTATGAAGCACAACACGCTTTGTGGTTCATGGCTACATTCAGGCATGAATACTGAGGAGTTACAGGACACTCATGAGTTAGATTAGAGGAGAATCCATATGAGACACAATTCTAGAGAAACTCTGAGTTGACTCATCAAGCTGAGAAAGCCCCCACACCTCAGAAGCTCAGCCTGGTGATGTTCATTTCTAGAAGAACCCGGGGACACTCACCAGGTCGACAACCACATCCTTGTGGAAGGTGCTCCTCCACTCCGCAGCCACGTTGCACACATACATCACCGCTTCAGGGTCATCTGAGTTCACGTGGAAAATGGGGGCGTTCACCACACGGGCCACGTCTGTAGGGTAGGGAGAGGACCGGGCCATCCGGGGATCTGTGGTGAAGCCGATCTGCAAGGAGCACAGCAGGTCTCATCAAGCGGACTCCTGCGCAGGGCCACAGCTCAGAGGTCAAGGGCAGGCAGGGGCGTGCCTGGTCAGTAGTACCAGGAGCAGGGGAGGCACTCAACACATGCTCCCTTAATATGGAAATACAGGGGGCAACACAGTCCTGACGACTGAGGAACTCCTCAAATTGCTTTTCAGGTTTTTTGTTTTCCTTTAAAGTTTTTATTTTTCCTCTCCTAATAACTAAATTCAGAATCGACAGTATAAAAGATTAAACAACATTACCTATGATCCCACCAAATACAATGTAAATATTTTGAAAATAGTGTAAATATTTTGATGTTCTTCTATTCAGACTATTTTCTTCCCATGTATGTATGCAGGCATATATACATATATATGTTGTTGTTGTTGTTGTTAGCTGCTGTTGAGTCGGTTCCGACTCATAGCAACCCTACAGGACAGAGCAGAACTGCCCCACAGGGTTTCTAAGGAGTGCCTAGTGGATTTGAACTGCCGACCTTTTGGTTAACAGCCAAGCTTTTAATCACTACACCACCAGGGCTCCAAAACACATACATATAGTACACATATATATATTTCTATAATTTCCCATTTTATTCATTTAGCATTATATTATGAGCATTTTTTCTTTGAAAAGAACATTTAAAGGCTTCATAACCCTATTACTTCTTGTTAGCTGCTATTGAGTCAGCCAAACTCATGGCGCCCCAATGCAGAAATATACTAAAATTTAATTATATATTCATAATTTTATATTCTGCATTTCAATTTTTTCATGCAAGTATTTCAACATATGGAAATGTATATTGTATACTGTATGACATTATATAATGATCACCCATGAACCTATCACCCAATATGAACAAATCTTAACAGCTTCACCATATTTGTTCCTAGACCTTTTTTATTCCTTCGAATAAAACAAAACATTCCTGCCACACTTGGAGCCAAAGCCTGCACTGCTCCCTGATTCTCTTCCTTTGCAGGGGGATCCACTACCCTGAAATTAGAGACCTCACTTCCACATATTAGTGTATGTGGTTAATGTATGAACAATATGTAGTATCTTTTTAGGCTTTTGGTAACTTATGACATAATTTCAAACTTACGAAAAAGTTGAAACAATAGTACACTGAACTCCTGTCTACCCTGTAACCAGATTCATCAATTGTTTATGTTTCCTCATTTGCTTTGAGGCTGTATCGCACACATGTTCACCTTTTCTCCTAAACCATTTAGGAGTAAGCTATAGATGGTGCCCCTTTACCCAAAAATACTTCAGTGTCCTAAATACAATGATATTCCCTTAGCTAGCCACGGCACAGTTCTCAACCTCAAGTGATTTAATACAGACATGATACTATTATCTAGTCTATATACACACTTCATCAATTACCCTAATAATACCCATACAGTTTTTCTTTTTGTCTTCAGTCCAGTATCCAATCCAGGACATCACACTGCATTAGCTGTCATGTCTCTTGAGCCTCCCTTAATCTGGAAGGCTTCCTTTGCCTTTCATGGTTTTTCATAGCAGTAACATTTTGAAGAGTATCTGCATGCGTTTTAAACACCATATTTTATGTACCTGACATATGGTATCATACTCTATATACTGTGCAAATCCTTTGCAACTTGCTTTTTTGCCTAAACGCTTGTTTTTTTTACAATTCATCCAGGCTGACACATGTACCTCTAATTCATGAATTTTAACTACTAAATAGTACAGCAATGTATTTATCCATTCTCCTGCTGGTGGATATTTCGGGTGTTTCCAATCAGTGGTTAATGCAAGCAATGTTATTATATACACTCTTACACAGGTTTTCACCAGCAAATACTGAGTTTATCTGCAGTATATTCCTAGGAAGGGAAATCTAATCCATAGGGTATGAGCATCATAAACTTTACAAAATATTATCTGATTATTCTCCAAAGTGGAGCCTTGGTGATGTTAATGGTTAATTAAGCTCAGCTTCTAACTGAAAGGTTGGCGGTTTAAACCCACCCAATGGCTCTGCAGGAGAAAGACGTGGCGATCAGTTTCCTTAAAGATTACAGCCTAGGAAACCCAATGGATAGTTCTACTTTGTCACATTTGAGTCATTATGAGTCGAAACCAACTGGACAGCACCTAACAACAACACTCTCCAAAGTGGCTGTGCCATTTATACTCTCACTGGCAGCACATGGGTAGCCTGCACTTTCCACTTAACATAGTATTTTCCCAGGATATGAAATATCTTAATGGGTGGAGAATATCGCTTCCTATGGTTTTGCCAAAATTTATGCAACGACTCTTCTATTGTTCTTATTTTCTAATGTCATGGTAGTACAAATATGGTTTTGAGACACGTATTTATACAAAAATATTTAGGCATCTGACTGCTTCCTTGGGAGAGATTTCTATTTCTAGAACTTTCAAGGTGTGCTGTTAAGAGATCAAGGGTCTCAACAAAGCAGCCACGTCTCTCCCCCTACAGATCTCCCCCAATCCCACACTTTCTGTGGCCAATGATGCTGACGGTAGTAACGAGATTAAAGAAAATACTGGCACAACTGTGGTCCGTACAGAGGTCCAAGAACTCCCTGTTTATGTGAAATTGCTTTTAAATAATCTCCTTTCTCACATGCACTAAAGAGGATTAGAAATAGAAACTGATGAGTACATTAAACATGATACTCTGGGCAGAAGTCTCAGGAACACTTACAGAGATCCCTGAATAACTCAGCAAGTAATGGACCCCACCCTGCCCACGCAGCTTCTACCACTTAGGGAAATGTGGGTATCTAACAGGGAAGTTACTAATCGTAATGTGCCCATTACATCTAGAACCTCACAGAAATGAATTTTATGTGCAAAATCATAAAATTCCATCTTTTTTTATAGTTCAGTTTTCAAAAAATACAAGAATATGGTAAAAAAAATTCAAAATAGCACAAAAGGTTATACAGTGAAAGCAGCTTTGACATTTTGAAACCTCAGTCCCCCAGTTGCTCCTCCAGCATCCACCGTTATCAGCCTCTGTGTCCTCCAAGCACAGGGATCTACACGGGGGTGCACACACACAGATACGTATTCCTGTTGTTTTAGAACCCTAAGTGGAGGTATACACTGCATACTGCTCTGTACTTTTTCCCACTTCATATACCTTGTAGCTCACTTCATCAATATATATGTAGGTTTCAGTCTTTTAAATCACCTCATCCTACCAATAATCAGACCTGTTCCAGAGGGGAGTCAACTGTCTCCAGAAGTTTTGGAACAACTAAGGAACTCTTAGTCAAAGTTGAAGTAAACAGGACTTCAAGCACGGTGAAGGATAAACCATTTGACTTCTAGTGTCCCTTTCAGCTGCTAAAACCACCAGTTCCACTTAAATGGATTTTTCCTGCCAGTACATGCATACACGTATATAAGAGGCATCTTTAAAGATATTACTGCTGCAGAATTTGTAGTAGCAGAAGACTAGACATCTAAATTTCCATCAGTAAATCAGTAGGGAGTTACTTAAATAATGTATACTTGTAAAATGCTTAGAATGGTGCCTGGCACATAAATACGCACACTATAAGTGTAATTGTTAATACCTTAGGAGGAAATTCTTCCTTTCATTCAACCAAAATCTGCTTCCTGTTAACAGCTACCCACTGTGCGGATTCTGCCCCTTATACTCCCTGCTACATGAATCATTCATATATATGAAAACAGGTCTCATGTTTCCCTGCAGTCCTTCACCTTCCAGGGGACGGACGGATGGACACACACACAGCGTCATTGGTCATTCCTTGGGGAACAGCTTCCAGACATTGCACCAACCTAGGATGCCCTCCTCTAAATGGTATCTCACTTATGTTTGACCAAAATACTTGATTTTCGGTTCAAGAAGTCTGACAAACCCAAGGCTTCCTTGTACTGTTTTGTGTGATGTGATTTTTAAATTTAAATATTATTAAATGTTTATAGTATAAAGAAGGAAGGTCTCAAATCAATGATCTAAATGTTCACTTTAAGAAACCAGAGAAGGAAACAAGTAGAAGGAAAGCAATGATAAAGAGCAGAAATTGGTAAAATTGAAAAGGTGAAAACTCATGAAACCAAAGCTGTTTCCTTGGGGAAAAAAAGATTGGTAAATCTATAGCCAGAATAACCAAGAAAAATAGAGAAAAGACACAAATATCAGGAGCAGGAAACCACTAAAAATCTTGGAGACATTAAAAGGATAATAAGGGAATACTACAAATGTTATGCTCATAAAAAATTCTACAATTTAAATGAAATGGACAAACTCCTTGAAAGACACAAATTGCTGAAGCTCACTGTCATGGATTGAATTGTGTCCCCTCAAAAATGTGTATATCAATTTGGCTGGGCCATGATTCAAAGTATTGTGTGGTTGTCCTCCATTTTGTGATTGTAGTTTTAGATCGTAGTTAAAGAGGATTAGGGTGGGATTGTAACACCACCCTAACCCAGGTCACATCCCTGATTCAATGTAAAGGAAGTTTCCCTGGAGTGTGGCCTGCACAACCTTTTATCTCTCAAGAGATAAAAGGAAAGGGAAGCAAGCAGAGAACTGGGGACCTCATACCACCAAGAAAGCAGTGCCAGGAGCAGAGCGTGTCCTTTGGACCTGGGGTCCCTGCGCAAAGAAGCTCCTAGTCCGGGGGAACACTGATGAAATGGCCAACAGAGAGAAAAAGCCTTCCCCTGGAGCTGACACCCTGAATTTGGACTTCTGGCCTACTAGACTGTCAGAGAATAAATTTCTCTTTGTTAAAACCATCCACTCGTGGTATTTCTGTTAGAGCAACACTAGATGACGAAGACACTCACTAAAGGAGAAACAGAAAGCCTAAAACAGTTCTATTTTTATATTTACAAAAAAAACTAAATTTATACTAAAAAAAAAACAAAAATCATCCCAGAGACTTCAGCTTCTGGCAAGATACAGTAGGTGAACCTTTCCCCATTCTTC